CCCACAATCCGAGCGCGAACGGGCAGATGTCCTACTTACCCCCTAGATGTTCCCCCCTTGGGGTGCGCAAGTGCCAAGCGTGTGTATCGCGATGAACAAGTTCTGAAAAGACTGACGCCTGATCATTGAGACGTCCCCACAATCCGAGCGCGAACCGGCAAATGTCCTACCCCCTGGCGGTTCCTCCGTGGGTCCTCAGATGCCACGTCTGTGCATCGCGATGAACATTGGGCTCTGAAGACAAAGGTGTCTGATCAACGAAACGGGCAAATGGCCCGACACAGCCCCTCGATCTGCGCGCGAGCGGGAAAATGAAATTATTACCCCTTGGCGGCTCATTCTCGGGGTGCTCACATGCCACGCCTGCTACAACATAATGGACATGGGGCACAGAAGCAGGAGACGCCAAATCAACCAAACAGGCAAGCCGCCAAAAACATCCCCACCATCTGGGCGCTAACTAACGGGCACATGTGCTACCCCCTGGCGGCCCCCCAATGAGGGGCTGACATTTTTCCCCTCGCACAAAAACCACTGGTGCCACGACAACTCCGCAAATCAAAAGATCACTAGGCAAACCGGGAACATCGCACAAGCCGACCTGCAAACTCATGACATGAACCGTGGCCTGAATAACTAATCGAAAATGCAGTGACGACAAGAATAGGAGAGGGAGGACAAGGGGGAAAGGACCGCCATGTTGAGCGGGCAAAACCGATTGCTCGGCCAGCCATTCATATAAACACACAGCTGGCGAAACGAGGAGAAAGGGAAGGAGGAAGAAGAGGATGGGAAAACGAAGGCTGGGCAGCGTGGCCCCTCAAATGAGCTGGTAGTTATCGATTCTCGACCCCATCTTTCTCGCGGATTTCGCGACACAGGCCGTTTTTCTGTGGCTTGTGGGGCCTGGTACGGGCTCCCGAAAGGCGCTCGATCTTGCACGCTCGCGGCGGAGCCGCCACCGCGGAGAGCGGCGACGTGACGAAGAGACAGGGAGAGAGAGAAAGAGAGAGAGAGAGAGCGAAAACGAGAGAGAGAGACAGAGCGAGAAGAGAGAAGCTACCGTCGGGAAGCCGGCGTCCCTGCAAGGGGGCAAGCGCGCTGATCGCTCGCATGCCTTCTAAGAAGGCCGCTATATGTGTGGTTGCGCCGAGTTCAAATGAAGCACAACACGTTTGCACGAGAAGTCGAAGATCCGCTGAGAGAACGGCAGCTCAAGCAAGATCCGTCCCCGGGCACCTCCCCGGGTCCAAACCTACCAATTTTCCGAGCTGCGCCCAGTCGTGGAGACGAGGGGCTCCCCCGAAGGACAACCACCGCTGTCGCAGCTCGCCCTCCTCGGAGACCGCCGCCCTGGCGGCGGCCACGCCCGAGCGCCGTGCCACACTGCGAGACGCAGGGGTCGATCCCCCCCCCCGATGGGTCTCGGTGGCGGTGGTCTCCTTGGGGAAACCAAAGGAAATATTGACACCGCTACTCCCAGAACCCTCCCGAAGCGCGTTCTGACCAGTCGAGGCGAAGCCAGCCGTGGTGAAGACGAGGGAAAGGTTGGCGGTATCGGCTCTGAGTCTCCGTATCCCCTCTCTGCCACGAACTCCTCATCCCTTTCCTCATCCTCCGCCTCCACCTCTAGATGAAGAGCAACTGCATAGAGATAAACGCTCGGGAATCCGCGTGGATTTCTTGGATGAAGCCAAGGGCGGTGCCGGAGGCGCCGTCAGGGGACCCCAGCGCCCAGCGCCGATCCAAACAATCCGCGCGGAGCTGCGACAGTGTAAGTTTAGCAGTTGTTTGTTGTTCCTTCTTCGAGTCCTTCTCCTCCTCCTTCTCCTCCTTCTCCTCAGGCTCCTCCTCCCCTTAGATCCGTCGTTGCGAAAAATAGAACATTCATGTTTCTGTTGCACTTGTCTACTGCAGTTGTCGAGCCGCATCGATATGTGGTCCTGGTGCCCGACACAGATGCAGCGCCCAGATCTCAAGCTCCTCCGCTGCAATACCTCATGCTCTTCCCGCCCTTCCTCCCCATGTCGTTCGATCCTCCTCGTGCCGGCCTCGGTGGCGGGCATGCGCTGGAACATGAAGCGCCGCGCCTTCGGGCGGGCGCATCGGTGCGGCAGAGTTTCACGTCCTCGTCTCTCCTCCTGCTCACTCCTTCTCCTCCTTCTCAACCTTTTCGTAGGCATGGCATGGGAAATCCTCCTCCTCCTGCTCTTCCTCCTCCTCCTCCCCATCCTCGTAGAGGAGCAGGAAGCGGAATACACATAAACTTACGAAGCTCCGTGCGGATTTCTTGGATCGGCGCTGGGCTCCCCAGCGGCGCCGCTGCCCCTGGCGCGCTCCGCGCGCCAGCGAGGAGGCTCCAGCGCCGATCCAAGAGATCCGCGTGGAACTCCAGAAGTTTATGCCTACGCCGTCCTTGCTTTTTCGACCACAACCTCGTCCTCCTCCTCCTCCTGCGCCTCCTGCTCCTCTCCCTCCTCCTGTCCATCCTCTTCCTGGCGAGCAAGAGCAAGCTCCTGCGCACGCCTCGCGCCAGCAGGCATCGAGGGTAGCACATCTTCCCGGCCAAGACCGCACCTCTTCAAGACACAGGCAGGCCTGGCCGACGGTTCGACCCCGACCACGCCCAGATGTGGCGAGCGAGGCAGAGAGCAAGGCGCGGACGAACGCAGCATGGGCCGAGACCTCCGACGCCCTGACTATGTCACGATGTGTGCCCTGGGACGCGCGGCCCCATCAGCGGCTCTGCGTCCCCATCACGGGCCGTCTTTTGACTGTCCTCGGGCCCTTGACAGGCATCCAGACGCCCAAACGGCCCCAACTCGTGCTTTCAGGGCGCCGGAGTCCTGGGCTGACGGCCGTGCCGCATGGACGAGCCGCCTTCTTCTCCAGCTTCTTGCCAGCGGCGATGTCCTTCACGTCGCTCAAGGGGTTCATGGAATTGAACGCGGGCGGGGGGGCATCGAAGCCTGAGTCGCACGGGGCACAGCACGACAGAGGGCAAATAATACCCCCTTCTTCCTGATCCTTCAGACAGCCAGCAACACAGACAAAACAACTCTGGGCCTGGACATGTATTGTCCCGTAATGGTCAAAGGCCCCGCTCCCCCCTCCGCATCCTTATCTTCTTTCGAACTTCCGCTAGCACAATCGTGCGCGTGCTGGATGCAAGGCGAACTGCCTGCCGTGACGGCAACGGCTCCTGACGACCCCCAGGGGCCTGCACCAAATGGCCTTCAGGGCTCAGCATGAACCGGATCAGGGAGGGAAGAGTGAAGAGGAGCAGGAAAAGGAGGAGGAGGAGGAAAAGGAGGAGGCCGAGGAGGATGGGGATCGGGATGGGGACCGTGTGAGTCTGTCCGCTGCGGCCCAGCACCAGCTGGACGGGGGGGGGAAGCGGAGGGCGAAGAGGGGGCGCGGAGGGCACGCCAAGCGGAGAGGAGTGTCGGGCGGCGTGCCAGCAGAGCCTCGAGCGAACGGGGAGGGAGGGGTGGAGGAGGCGAAGGGAGAGGGCTCAAAAATCAGAGTTACGATCCTTTCCCTCCCTCCCTCCTCCTCCCTCCTCCTCCTCTCCTCCTCCTCCTCCTCCTCCTCCTCCTCCTCCTCCTCCTCCTCCGCCTCCGCCTCCTCCTCCGCCTCCGCCTCCGCCTCCTCCTCCGCCTCCGCCTCCGCCTCCTCCGCCTCCGCCTCCTCCTCCTCCTCCTCCTCCTCCTCTTCCTCCTCCTCCGCCCACCCCCCTCCCTCCCCACTCTCCATTGGACTCGCGGCGCCATTGAGGATCCGCAGTGCGCCACCGTGGCGCTGGGCACGGAGTGGGCGTGTCCTCAGGTCCTTTGCCCAATCCCCTGGGCCTCAGTCCTCACTCCTGGGAGCCTTCCAGGGCCCCCCAAGCAGAATCCCAAAAGAGGCCCCAAAACGGCCCCCAAGAGGCCTTAGAACTGCCTCCAAGATGCCTCCGAGAGACATCCAACGAAATCCCAACTAACATCCAATAGGCTTTAGCGAGATGGGCCGAAGGCCATTCGACAGTGCGCCCCCCGAGATCCGACGTCGAGATAAATCACAATCCCCTGCAAAAGCCTGGGCTGGAACGCACAAACATTGATTCTACGGGTTGTACTCGAGTAGGGTTCATCCGTGACCACCGGTATCGTCATTGTCGTCGTCGTCTTCTTCGTCGTCATTGGCATCATCATCATCGCCATCATCACCACCGCAACCACGGTCGTCGTTATCGTCATCGTCTTTGACCTCCTGCTGCTGATCCTCGTCTTCCCACGGCTGCCCCCCCTCAATCACCGCAACCTCGCCGTTCTGACTCTCGTCTCCCCTCCTCCCTCATTTCCTCCTCCTCCTCCTCCTGATCCTCCTCATCCGCGCCAGAACGCACCCCATTCCGTCTCTTCTTCGAACTGGTGATTGGGCTGGCTGGAGGTTGGTCAGGCACGGGTTGAGAAGGGGGAAGGGCATAATGCCCCTCGGAAGGCAACGGGGGATTCTAAGAGTGGTCATGAGGTCTTCGGAGGCTCTTCATCGGAAGGCTCGACGGGCTCCGGAAAGCTGTCATGTGTGGAGGCCCTTCCAGACGTCTCCTCCTGTCGGGGGAGAAGGAAGAGCAGGCCTATACACGGATCGGGGAGCCCATCACCACCACCACCCTGGCCAGTGCCAGATCTGCCCTCGTGGCACGCCACGCAGACGCTCGGGGGGATGACCCGAAAGGTGTGCGCCAGCACCGCCCCCGGCCCCACCTCCACGGGGAAGGAGACGGCTGGAGGAGGAGGGGGAGGAGGAGGAGGAGGAGGAGGAGGAGGAGGAGGAGGAGGAGGAGGAGGAGGAGGAGGCCTCTGCCAAATCAGTAACCATTGTGGCTCAAGCTGTGTCCGATACCGAAGTATACCTCTGTTTTCTTATGTTTGGACACCTGAGTGGTGCGACATCTCGTTGCAGCCTGGGCCCTGGAAATGGCTCATCGGCGGAAGTTCGGACAGTGCTTTTACTGCTTGAGATTTCGAGGTATTTCCACCTTCCTGGACTGCGAAGATCGAACAATTCCGCCGCAGAACAACGAACCCTGCTATGCTCGCAAACGCACCGCACGCTGTCCCACATGCCATGCATATAATTGGACGAATGGAAACTCACAGCAAACACGCACTGTGCGCATCAAAAAAAAACCTGGTGCCGAAGATAAATCCAATGTCAATACGAACAATTATTCCAACATCCGTAAACACGACATTATCAAAATGTTCGTCACCCACACCGAGAACGTAGGCTGACACGACATAAACAATACTCATGCTGCGAACGGAAAAAGTTGTGCTTACCCACGAATTCGAACAAACGGCACGCGGCATCTCCACTGCCAAGCCGCTTCTACCTAGTGAGGATCATGGACTACGGCACCCATTCAACCAAACTTGCCTCACGCTCGATACGTATCACTTGGTAGGTGAGATCCTGGACGGAAATGGATCCGATCGTCACGCAATTGTCTTTTTTTTCGCATGGTTCGGGCGCATGGTGCTTAAACCAGCCACGGTGGAGATCGCGGCTGCAATTTGGGATCGCCGCTTCGAAAAGGAGCCTGTATGGCAACACGAGCGCTTGGCATGCGCCACGTAAGTGGAGAAGGAGCGACAGCAAGCCAGTCCCCTCCCCACCTCCATACACTCCCCCCAGTCAGAAGCGTCCGTCGCGCGACTCTTCGAGTCTCACCGCGCTTCTGTCGCCACTGGCTGTCAGACCGCTGACCAGAGCGGTGGTCAGCAGCATCCGCGCAAAGAGCGAGAGAGAGAGAGAGAGTGAGATGTTCACGGCTTCAGAGTCAACACAAAATTCTGTGGTCATTTTAAAAACTACGTCGGATCTCCAGGTCAATGCGCCGTCCAGACGCCGTTCTGCAAACGCTCGGGCAATGTCTGGCGCCTGAAAGTAATACGTTTCGAACTGACTCGAAAAAACGCCTCTAAGGCAAGTAACTGTCTTAGCACCCGTCGCGTCAAGACGGATCAACAGCGAACCATTCCCAACCCACCGCCACGTCCGATCCTCCTCTGCCCCCCCCCCGCGTCCTCCCCCGAGACATCATCATACCAGCGTGCAGCCAATGCGAATGGTAAGGATCCGCGGTGCGAGTACCCTTGGGATGTTGCTCATCCCCACCATGCGCATGGACTGTGGGCAGCGCCGCGCTGTGCCCCCTGCGTGCCGGGACGCCTGGATTGGTTTGGCCTGCGGCCGCTCCAGCGGGAGCCGAAGATGCATCGGGCGCTCCCAGCCTTCCGGGAGCGCGCGCGGGGCGGGCTGGGCCCCCAGCCGCCCGCGGGGGTCCCTCGGGGGCTCCAGCCGCACGGGCCCCCCGCCGCTCATAAATCAGGCCTCCCTCGCGAGGGCAGCGCGGTCCAGGCCTCCAGCCGTGCGGGCACGCGCCGACAGTCCGCGAGGGGAGACTCGTAAAGGCCCTGGTTCTGGGGGGGGCTCGAGCTTGCCCGGCGGGGCCGTCAAGGAACGGGCGGGGCGCGGGTGCTCCTCTGCCTTTACTGCTGCGATCATGATCGCCGCGGCGAACGTCTCGCATCTTCTGGTGGCATCGGAGCTCAGGCATCATGATCGCAGCAGAACGGACCATGCTTGAAAACAATTCCCCTACAGCGGTCCGCATGGCGCATGTGCCCTCGATGCTGGATGTGATCCTGTAGCGGGGAGCGGCACCACGCCGGTGGAACGGACCAGGACGACCCAGCCGAACTTGGACAGACAAGCCGTAAACGTACCATTCGCATACAGTTATACAGTCTCACACTGCTCCTGCCATCGCGGCACTCGACACGCCATCAGGCACTCAGCACTTCACCGCGCTACGATCACAGAAGTAGCGGTCTGCACCGAATTCGACGCGAGCGTGTAGATGTAGGCCTTGATGGGCGCGTTGCAGTCCTTGCGCCAAGCTTCAGTATTCGAGGTCTCGTTCGCTCTTTTGTCGGACCTCGCCGGATCCACCAGCTCTATCTGCCGCGCCTTCGAGGCATCCCGGCCACCAGTGCTCGCGACACTCCTGAGCGTCTGCATGACGCAACGGACGCTGAATGGGCAATCCTGTGGTGCACAATGCGAATTGAACCAAAAAACTTGAGCCAAAATGGCTACGGAACCGTCACGCAATTGTCTTATCGGATGTTCGATTATCCTCCTTCAAAAAAATGTAAGCGACCGGGCCCCCCAAATTCCGCATACACCACATCTGCAGCGTGACCGGCTATGTAAAGGAAAAAACAACACAAACGTAAGCGTCCGGAGCTCCGCTCGGATTCCTTGGATCTGCGCTGGACTCCCTCCTTGGCGAGTGGAGCGCGCCACGAGCGGCGCTGGCGGCACCGCCTGGGGGGCCCAGCGCCCATCCAAGAAATCCACACGGAGCTCCGAAAGTATATGTTTATGCAGTTTCGTCTTTGCCGAGAAAGGAGGAAGAGATGGAGGAGAAGCAGGAGAGGGTGGAGGAGGAGGAGGAGGAGGACGACGAGGAGGATGCAATTTGTTTGCTTCGAGTCCGCGACACGATCTGAGCACGGACTGCGACAAAGTTCGTGCGAAGACGCACCGGCTGCGGCAAGTCGAAGGTGCACATTAATATGGGACCTCTTCCGCTCGGCTCCGTACCTCGTTCGGGAGTGCTCGCGGAACCCAGAAATCTCGAGCCTCACATTGGGGATGCCCCGTGGAGAATTACCATGGCACCAAACGCCAGGCCTGGTTGAACACAACCTCGGGCGAACCAAAAATGCTCGAGTCAATATGGATACGGATGAGGAGCCCTGCTCGTGAAAACCCTCTTCAAAATCCGCCGACCCTGTCGGCGTGTGTGAGGGGCTGTTCCGTTCGAGCCGTCATCTCCGTCATTCTTTGTACTCGTCGTCTCTGTCCTTCCCTTTCCCTGGGAGACCTCTTCCCCTGGGCTCCAGCCAAGCCGACCTTGAGCAACCTCGTAATTGAGTCGAAGGGAAGCCCCTTCCCTTTGATCCCTCCCCCGCCGGGAGGGGGGGGGGGTAGCGACCCCCCCCCCGGGTCAGATACGACGCCCCCCCCTGGGACTCCTCTTCCCCTGGGCTCCAGCCAAGCCGACCTTGAGCAACCTCGTAATTGAGTCGAAGGGAAGCCCCTTCCCTTTGATCCCTCCCCCGCCGGGAGGGGGGGGGGTAGCGACCCCCCCCCCGGGTCAGATACGACGCCCCCCCTGGGACTCCTCTTCCCCTGGGCTCCAGCCAAGCCGACCTTGAGCAACCTCGTAATTGAGTCGAAGGGAAGCCCCTTCCCTTTGATCCCTCCCCCGCCGGGAGGGGGGGGGGGGGTAGCGACCCCCCCCCGGGTCAGATACGACGCCCCCCCCTGGGAGATTTCCCCCCCCCCTCCCCCGCCGGGACTCCGACGCCCCCCCCTGGGACTCCTCTTCCCCTGGGCTCCAGCCAAGCCGACCTTGAGCAACCTCGTAATTGAGTCGAAGGGAAGCCCCTTCCCTTTGATCCCTCCCCCGCCGGGAGGGGGGGGGGGGTAGCGACCCCCCCCCCGGGTCAGATACGACGCCCCCCCCTGGGACTCCTCTTCCCCTGGGCTCCAGCCAAGCCGACCTTGAGCAACCTCGTAATTGAGTCGAAGGGAAGCCCCTTCCCTTTGATCCCTCCCCCGCCGGGAGGGGGGGGGGGTAGCGACCCCCCCCCCGGGTCAGATACGACGCCCCCCCCTGGGACTCCTCTTCCCCTGGGCTCCAGCCAAGCCGACCTTGAGCAACCTCGTAATTGAGTCGAAGGGAAGCCCCTTCCCTTTCATTCCTCCCCCGCCGGGAGGGGGGGGGGGGTAGCGGGGGGGGGTAGCGACCCCCCCTCCGAGTCAGATACGACGCCCCCCCCCCGTACCGACCTTGAGCAACGTCGTCATTGAGTCGAAGGGAAGCCCCTTCCCTTTCCCTTCCCCGACGGGGGGGGGAGAGGAGGTCCCGGGGGGGGTCCCGGGGGAGTCCCGGGGAAGTCCCGGGTCAGATACGACACCTCACTCCCCCACCTTCTCGTCCTTCTCCCCGTTCCCCCAAACCATCCCACAGCCCGTGCCTCTTGCTGCGCATTGCGAACAGGGTCGGCGGCACCGGCCGTCAGGCCTTCGCAATACTCCCCCTTCTGTGTGAGACCATCAAGGCAGAATCAAGAATCTCCTCCTCCTTCTCCTCCTCCTCCTCCTCCTCCCACTCCTCCCTCTCCTTGTCCCGCGTTTCATCCTCGTACTCTTGCCGCAAAATCTGCGAAGGACGCCGAGATACAACACACGATCTGGCGCGCCTTCGAGCCGGAATCCCTCCGCCACGGAATTCGTGAGGCTGTCCAAGATGTCCTTCGGCCAGCGCGGGTGAACCACTGAGGCGCGGAGGAGATCCATGTTTTGACGGTTGACTTTTGCGGTTCATCCGGAGGTCCTTGGGGACTTCCAGAATGGGGATGGACAGGAGGAACGGATCAGCAGGACTCGTGAAGTTTGGCGAGGATGACGCTAGGTCGGCGCATATGACCCAGCAGGAGCAGCAGGAGGATGGAATGGAAGGGGAAGGAGGGTAGGTGGATTCCCAGGGCTGCCGCCATCGCCATGCTGACTGTGATACGGGTATTCAACTACGCAAATTTTTGGGAACGAGCCGCGAGATTGCTCGAGACACTCGCTCGCGACGAGCCTTCACAGCTGACTCCTTGCACCGTTTGGGCCTAGGCGGAAGAGCCCCGTTGGATCTCTGGGATCTCTGGGATCGAATCGCGTGTCCATCACGGCTACTGGTTGCGAAGAAAATTACTCCGACGGTAGGACCCCGCATGAGAATCCTCTCGGCCAATCTGGAAATAGCACTTCACCCCCTCATCACCTCCTCCCTCTTCTACGGCATGAGCGCGCCTCGGCGCCGTCGCTGCATCGGCCAGCGCCGGCGCAATCTGTAATTGCCCCATTGCGCCACAACCTTTGGAACAACCCCGCGGGCCAGGCCGTCGGGACTACCCGGCAAACCACCGGCGCGCGAGACCAAGCCGTTGGGACAAGCCCGCGGGCTTCAAGCGTGGCGCCGCCGCGCTCAGGCGGGGACAGCACGAAAACAGAGGCAAACCGAGCGATATTACATGTTCCCAGCGCTACTCCATCCGGATGAACTTGCGAAGAAACCACGACGAAAGAAACCCAAGTGAAAATACCGAGTTGCCAAGATCGCAATATCTCGGATACCAGGCGCACAACCGAATTGGGGAAACTGTGAATGGTTTCAAGGACGCGGGCCCCACCCCCTCGCATGCGGTCAACGGCCCGCTAGGTAGGGGAGCGACGGAAAACCGCGTACTTCCGCGTGGAAAAAGCTACGCGACCAGAGGCTCGCGCATCTGACGATGCCAGAGGCTCTCGTCGTACGCAAATATTGTCAAAACGAGCAGTTGACGAGGCCAGGGGCCCTCGCCGTCGAATGAAGGATAACCAACTGAGCGGCCAGAGGCTCGCACAAATGACGAGGCCAGAGGCTCTCGCCAACGCTGGCTGTATCATACAGAAGTCGTACGCGGCCAGAGGCTCGCATACCTGACGAGGCCAAAAGGCTCTCGCCTCGCTTGATGCGACACCCGCAATCCATCACGGCCCAAGGCACGCGCAGATGTCGATGCCAGCGGCTCTCGCGGGACCCCTGCTTTGGATCCTCAACCTAGACGCCCCCATTAGCCCCCTGGGCAGCCCCCAACAGAGCCCAATAATCCCCGAACAGCCCCCAACAAAGCCCAAAATAACACCACGAAGCCCCGAGGCCTCGCAAAACCTTCCAGGAGGCCCCCAAGAAACCTCCCATGAAGCCCCCAAACCGCCCCAGTGTCGCCACGGCATGATTCGGGCACGCGGGCCCATGACAAGAACAAAGTTGCCGACGACCAGCTCGGACGAGGTTACCCGCAACTCACTCGCAAACGAGGCTCCCGCCTCATACTTCCCCAAGGCCCATGTCTCAGGAGCCCAAAATGAATGACAGCTACGCGTTTCCGATGACCCGCTCGGCTTACTTATCTGAGCTGCGGGCCCCATAGGGGGGGGGCTCCCGCCTGAGACTTCCTCGCAATTCACTCACAGACGAGGCTCCCGCCTTATACGTCTCCCATGTGCAAGCCTCAGGGGCCCGAAAGTGACGACGGTTACAGGTTTCCGATGACCCGCCTCGGATTCGAAAGTGAGCTGCGGGCCCCATAGGGAGGGGGTTCCCGCCTGAGGCGCCCTCGCAATTCACTCACAGACGAGGCTCTCACATGATACATCTTCCAGAGTCAAGCTTCTGGAACCCAGAAGCGACGACAATTACAAGTTTCCGATGGCCCGCCTCGGATTCAAACATGAACTGCGGGCCCCATAGGGAGGGGGCTCCGGCCCGAGACTTCCTCGAAATTCACTCACAAACGAGGCCCAAAAGTCACAACAATTGCACGAGGCCGATGATCCGCTCGAGTTACTGACATGAACTGCGGGCCCCCTAGAGAGGGGGTTCCCGCTTCAGACGCCCTCGCAGGTCACTCGCAGACAAAGCTCCCGCCTGATACTTCCTCCATATGCAGGCCTGAAGGGCCCAAAAGTGACGACAGTTGCAGGAGGCCGATGACCCGCTCAGATTACACACATGAGCTGCGGGCCCCATAGGGAGGGGGCTCCCGCCCGAGACTCCCTCGCAATTCACTCACAGACGAGGCTCCCGATTGATACTTCCTCCATATTCAAGCCTCAGGGGCACAACAATGATGACAGTTGCAGGAGGCCGATGACCCGCTCGGCTTACTTATCTGAGCTGCGGGCCCCATAGGGAGGGGGCTCCCGCCTGAGACTTCCTCGCAATTCACTCACAGACGAGGCTCCCGCCTTATACGTCTCCCATGTGCAAGCCTCAGGGGCCCGAAAGTGACGACGGTTACAGGTTTCCGATGACCCGCCTCGGATTCGAAAGTGAGCTGCGGGCCCCATAGGGAAGGGGCACCCGCCTTAGACTCCCTCGCAATCCACTCACAGACGCGGCTCCCGCCTGATACTTTCCCTAGGTGCATGCCTCAGGGGCCCAAAAGTGACGACGGTTGCCGGAGGCCGATGACCCGCTTGGATTACTTATATGAGCTGCGGGCCCCATAGGGAGGGGGCTCAATTCACTCACAGACGAGGCTCCAGCCTGATACGTCCTCAAAATGAATGTGTGCGCGTGTGAGTGATCATGATGTGAGTGATGATGACGATGTGGGAGATGATGATGATGATGATGATGATGATGATGATGATGATGATGATGATGATGATGATGATGATGATGATGATGATGATGTTTGTGATGTGAGTGATGATGATGTCGATGTGAGTGGAGATGATGATGATGTTGATGATGTTGAGGGTGGTGGTGATGCTGGTCTGAGTGATTGGGTGAATAATGATGATACTGATGTAGTGAATGATGATGAGGAGGTTGATGGAATTATTAAGGTGATGGTGTGTGACACATGAAGTCAGTGAGTGCGCGGAAGGAGTGAAAACGATGAGGTCTGTATCAATTCATTGAGTGAGTGAAAACGATGATGATGCTGACGATGATGTGTGTGAGAGTGGGTGGTAGGTGATAGGTAAGTGTGTCAGAAAAGGAGGCATAATGATGAGCGAATGTGATTGTGTGAGCGAGTGACTGGATGTGTAAGTTATGATGATGTGGTGATGATGATGATGATAATGATGATGATGACGATGATGATGACGATGGTGATGGTGATGGTGATGATGCTGATGCTGATGCTGATGCTGATGCTGATGATGATGATGATGATGATGATGATGTGAGTGTGTGCGTGTGTGAGCGGGTGTGTATGTGGTGAGTGAGTGAGTGAGTGAGTGAGTGAGTGAGTGAGTGAGTGAGTGAGTGAGTGAGTGAGTGAGTGAGAAGAGAGGGGGTGTTCCTTCCTGATCCCGTGTTCCTGCGCGGGGTGTCCAGAGAAAACAAGAACCCCATTCTGGACGCGGGGAACAAGGGAGGGTGCTGCAACAATGCAAAGAAGGGGATCACCTGTCTCCCACGCGACCTCTCCGCGACCCGCGGAGAGGTCGCGTGGGAGGGAAGGACCTCCGGCGCCTCGCTCCCCTTGAGCCGCTGGAATGTCCACCCCTGGAGCGCTTGTGACACCCTCCTGAAACGAAGCCAGGACGATGATAGATCTGGACGAGGATAAGGCAGAAGTCGCTGAGGCCCGGCGGTTCTGGAGGATGTATCAGGCACAGCGGACGTCCCAGGACTTTCCAGAACGCTCTGAGAGCGTGCTCTGGAACGGACTTACCTCGTCCTAGCACCGCCCTGCCTCCCTCCGGGATCAGCCGGCACCGAATCGGTGAAGCGGATCGAACCGAAATGTGCAACGAGCGCATCGGGCTGCATCGGCGCGAAATCAAAATCGCATCGGATCGGCTGCGCCGGGCTGCGCCACAGCGCCAGGCAAGCGACAGCGGACCGCATCGGGTCGTCGGCACTTCGGAACCGACATTCGAATCGGATCGGGCCGGCCAGAACCGCCATCGAATCGGATCGATCGGGTCGAAATGGACCCTGCCGTCGGGTTGGAGGCGGCGGGGGGGTCCGAACTGGATGGGCCCTGGGGAAACTCGAGCAAGAAAGGGAGGTGAGGCCGAGTCCGCTGAAATTCGGTCCAGACCGCTCCTGGGGCCTATCTGGTGCAGCTTTCCACCCCGGATCCGTGATTGACGGTCCTGGGCCCGAAACAGCCCCAGGAAGCCGAACGAGGCAGAAAACATTCCCGAACCCGGAGCGTCGAGCCTCGCCCCGCCATGCTGCTCGCAGGAATCAGTCCTGGGCCATCTCAGACCCCCGGCCGGCTCCCATCGATCGGGTCAAAATGGACCCTGCCCTCGGGCAAGCTGTCTCCTCACAAACCCTCGGGGACAACCGATGCCATCCTGTGGGCTCTTGCGACTCGACGCTAAACTACGCGCATTGACGCTGAGTCGACGCCGATCGACAAATCGACGCTAACCGACGCTAGACCGGCACAATCCCACCGAATCGCAAACACTGTATCGACGCGAGTGCACTAGAACGCTGGAATTAGACCGAGGGAACCGACTCCTCCACGGCCCAGGGGCAAAAGACGCCGCCCCTGGGGCCCCTGACGGCGCCTCCAGCGCCGATCTGAGAACTCCGCGCGGACCTCCGAAGGTTCATGTCTGCGTCACTGTTTGTTCCCCGACGTCAGGGGGGACCGTCTCAGGGGGGCGGGGGGGGGGGGAACATCGACCTGAAATCGGCGATGCATCGCCGTCAGATCGGCGACGGGCCCCCGACGGCGCAT